TGCAGTTACCCATAGGCCCCATAGTAGTTCCTTTTTGGGATTACTCTTAGGATTCCAAATACGAACCCCCAAAAGGAACTACCATGTGGCCTATGGGTAATGCTAAAGGAGGAATGCTACCAGGCTACGCGTCACAGAATCGTCCATTGGGTTCTTGCGTTGGTTGGGAGTTTAACCATGCTCGTGCAGGGTTTGGCGTCGAGGGTTTGTGGCTTGAGGTGCAGTGCAAGAATTGGGGGTTTAGGTTTTTCGTCAGGCTCTAACTATAAGGTTTAAAATAGGAGCCTTGATGATTAGAAAAAGTTGGGGGGTATACTATGCTACAGTTGGAGTAAAGAGCCAGGTTTCTACATGAAACAGCTTGGCTTGGGGCGGGTGTATGGCCTCAGAGATCTGCAGGGCCGTTCAGTTTTTTTGGGATCCAACTCCAAACCCTTAACCCCAAACCCTGAACCCTGAACCCTAATCAACCCCTATACCCTAAACCATTAACCCTGAACCCTAATCAATCCGATCCCTTAACCCCAAACCCTAGACCATAAACCCTGAACTCCAGGATCCGCTAAACCTGTGGGTGTTGAGGGTTTATATAAGCTCCCAAGCCTGATAAACGCAACTAAACCCTAAACCCTAAACCCTAAACCCTAAACCGCAAATCCCACGAAGCCATCATCCGAAATCGCCCGGGTGCAAACAGTATTGGAAAATACGGCCTTCCCCCCTATACTCTTGAATCATGCCCAGCTTTGCCGTAGAAGTCAAGTAGGTCTCAGGTCTTTGCTGAGACCGATGCTGATGCTGTTGCCCTAAGGGTCCATGTGCCCAAATAGTAGATACTTTGGCCCTAAAGTAGTCCTTATATAGGTACTTTGGGGCCAATGTCTATACTATATTAGTACATGGACCCTTAGGGTTGTTGATGATGACGATGTGAGGAGGCTGGGGTCCTAGGGTTGAGGATCTCCGGCGCAAGCTGAGGCCGCCTACCCCTAAACCCTAAACCCTACAGTGTATGAGCACCCCAAAATTGTAAAGCTCCCTGCAGATCCTCCGGACCTCATGACTCCTAAAACCCGAACTCCCGAAGAACTAACGTCTCTGGACACTGTAAACCTTAAACTTAAACCCCGTAATCCCCACACCCTGAACCCATAAGCCCCTAAACCCTTCATCGAAAAAGCTAAACCCAGCCAGGGCACTTTAAAGACCCAGAGACGGCACCTGCAGCGTCAATCCTGCGGCGGTGCGCGGGGCGCTGCTCACCCGAAGCCCTATACGTGGAGGATCGGAGGATGTAGTAAATACAGTACGGCAAGAAGGTTCTGTAGGATTTCGAGAAGGGCTTCTCCCTAAACCGAGACCCGAAACTCCGCAAAAGCTAAACCGGACAAGCTCGCGAAAAACGGGAGATAGTGGTGACCCTAAGACCTAAGACCTGAAACCTGGAATCTCCAAAGGCGTTTAGGGTTTAGGGTTTAGGGCCTAGGGTTTAGAGTTCTAGGGTTTAGGGTGTACCTGAACCCTGAAGAACCTACCTTTTGAGGGTTCCCTTTTCTGACTTCCTTGGAAAGGCCTCCCTAAAAAGGTAGGTTCTTCGGGGTGCAGGTAGGGTTTAGGGTGCAGCCCGAAATCCAAGAACCACCAGCACCCTACATTTTCTGGGAAAAACCTATTCGATCAACAAACGAAATATATCATGTACGCCATAGCACCGTTAGCACTGAGGAGCCTTAATAATGACCTATACTACGGATTATTGAGGCCCCTATATTACCTAACTCCTTATAGTATCCCTTATAGAACCCTTAAAGGAACCCTTTAAGGTGATGATTAAGGACCCTACACTATACAAAATGGGCAGCACAGGGCTCCTTCCCACCGGCTGGCCGGAGGCCGAGCCGCGGAGCCAGCACGTCGAGGGAGTGGACTCCCAGAAGGTCCTCCGAGCTCTTGCTTTCTGTGTTTTTCAGGGTTTTAGGGTTCAGGGTTTTAGGATTTAGGATTTAGGGTTTAGGATTTAGGGTTTAGGGGGCTACATACATACATCCATACATACATACATACATACATACATACATACATATGTTCATATGTGTTTATGTGTATATATATACACGTACCCATGTGTGTAAGCACATATGCCGCGAATAAATTGTGTATCGATCGTTTTTTTTACAAAGGGGGCATGTTTGTATTTGAGCTTGCGTTTTGGGTGTTGGGCTGAGACTGTTTGGGGGTGTTTTGGATGCTTAGGTTCAGGAACAAGGAAGTGTTGGTTTAGGGTTTAAAAGTAACGACTTTGTTTTCGCGGTTTCTTACGATTCCAGTTGATCTGTCGTTAAAGGCCTCTTACCCCAAATAACCCTGAAGGCTAAACGGCTAAACCCTCAAATCCCCGAAATCCCTAAAGCCCTAAACCTGAACCGGCAATATGGGGGCCTTATGATTAGAATAGGGTTTGGGGGGTATATTATCCTACCATGATAATAAAGAACCCAACATGGTCTTGGTAATTATTCAGGCCCCGATAATTATTAAGCTCTCCGGCCTGAACCCCCCAAACCCACCCAACAAAGGCAACAGCGACCCAAGGCTCTAAAAACCTACGCCCGAAACCCCTAAAACCCAAAGCCCTAAAGCCTAAACCTTAAACCCTAAATCCTAAATCCTAACCCTCAAACACCTCAACATGAAAACAACAAATACGTCTCCCAAGGGGTCCATGTGCGGCATGCTCCAATCTTCTGGCAGATCTTCGCGCACTCTGCAGGAGCCGCAGCCTGCCATCAGGATATTCAATGGAGATAAAAGTGCATGTGCAGATGCACACACACACAATATATGTATATATAGAAATGGAGTAAGTGTTGTTTTGTACACGAAACTGGGTATACCTATATAACCTGTGCATGTATGTATGTATGTATGT